CAATGTTCCTTCTAAGTTTTTCCATTGGTGTGTGGATTGTTTCCATTCATGTGCAGAATAAAGTTTTCTATGTGCACCAAGGCATGTGTGAATGTGCACCACAAATAGAAGCACAAAGTTAGCTGTGGGTGCTCTGCACATCAGCTGGGCGCATTGAAATCTCTCCTGAGGGGCTGCACAAGCGCCCATCTTACAGGGGCCACCAGACGTGGGTGTGTTCTACAGCATAGCCAGCCCCAAGTGTTTACAAACCAGGAGTCGGGCCCCCAAAAGCATGCGATTTAATAATAAAATAATAATACAATGGGCGCCTGTTTATTTGGCCGATGGCTTTTTGCGCATGTAGCCTTCACATTTTCAAGCTTTTCTCTGCTGCCAGGAGGGCAAAGGCCTGACTTTAAAAAAAAAGGGAAAAGAGAAAACAGAGTCATGGAGCCGAGGTTCTGAAAACACCAACTATCAGGAAACACGAGGATTGGCAGCCCTGGTTTGAAACAGCGCCGTGGCTCTAAGGAGACCCCATGAAGAGGTAGCAGATTTAAAACAAATCAATGGAAGTTTTTCTTCATGCTGCACACAGTCAATCTGTGGAACTCCTTGCTGGAAGATGTGGTGAAGGCCAGGACTTTAACAGGATTCAAAAAAAAAGAGCTAGATAGATTCATGGAGGCTAGGTCCATCAATGGCTATTAGCCGGGATGGGTAGGAATGGTGTCCCCAGCCTCTGTTTGTCGGGGGCGGGAAATGGGTGACAGGGAGGGATCCCGTGAGGATCCCCTGTTCTGCTCACTCCCTCTGGGGCACCTGGCACTGGCCACTGTGGGCCGACAGGACACTGGGCCGGACGGGCCTTTGGTCTGACCCCGCCTGGCCGCTCTTACGTTCAATGACTGTGTGTTTCTTAGATTATCAGAGGGCCGATGGCCGTTGTGGAGAACACGGACAGGATGGCTTCAAACCTGGACCAGCTCCTCACTGGGGAAAGGACAAAGCTAGCGATCCGGCACAGGAACGTCGGTGAGTCTGCAGAGCGGGGCTCCGGGCAGCTGCAGCTGCGTGAGCCCCCCGGCACTTGCGAGGGGCACGAATGAGCAGCCGGGCAGCGGGGGTCTGCCCTGGGGTGCTGGTGGGGCGGGGTGGGGGTGGTTCCCGCCGGGAGCTGCTAGCTACCTACTTCCTCGCCCCGCGACAGGGGGGCCAAACAGGGCGGCTCGCCTGGCTGGGGGAAGAGGGGTGTTCCCTGCCCCCCCCACACACAGCGCCTCAGGAGTCTGGCTGCTCCCGGGGGGACCCCATCCCAGGGAGGCAGGCTCTGTGTGTGGGGGACCCAGCCGCTGCTGCAGCCGGAGGGGAACCGCCCTGCACCCTTCTCCAGTGAGACGCTGAGGTGGGGCTGTTGGCGGTAGAGCCCCTGCCTGGGTCATTATGGGGGGACCCGGCCTGGCTCTGCTAATGCCCATGAAGCCACAAGGCCAAGCACCCCGGCCCGTGATTTCAGCTCCGGCTGCTGGGTTCCCAGCGGGGGGGCCGGCCTGGCAGCGGAGAGCACACAGCCCCCGCTGACTGGAAAGTCAGGCCCCGGGGTCTGACTTGGGCACTCGGCGGCCTTGTTTGGAGCCCTGCCCGAGGAGCGTTCGGTTGCTATTTTAAGGGTGGGAGGGGAGGCTGAGCCAAGGCTGTGGCTGAACTTCCTTCCTTCCTGACCCCTTAACATCGCAGTGGGATCTCCCTGTGAGCCGCAAACCAGGAAGCGTCCGGGCCCGAAACCCCTTCCCTGCGGTGGGACGGAGGAAAGCTCCCGTCGGGGCGGCGTTCCCCCGGTCTCCACACGAGGGCAATGTGCCCTCGTACACGGCGCCTCACAGGCGAGGCCGAGGGATTTCCACAGGCTGACGCCTGGTGCCGGGGGCACAGGTGCCGGCCGGAAGGGGCGAGGTGCAGAGAAATGGCCGGGGGGGCTTTGCCGGCCGTGGCGCAGGGGGTTCTGTAAAACACTCGGAGGGCTGAGGCGATGTCATGGCTCTGAGGTGAGGGCGGGGGGCCGAGAGGTGGGGACAGCGGAGGGGTGGATCACGCTGACACCCCTAGTTTGTCCCCTCCCTCCCCCGCCCAAAGCAGGAGAGCGCCCCACGCACTGTCCTCCTGGGCGTTGCCACCGTGTCCTTGGGCCAGCGATGTCACCGCCTGGCGGCTGGGTCTGAGGGAAACCTCCCGACAGGCTCTTTTGCTTTGTCCTCTCCTGGGGGTCCCTGGGGGGCTGCCGTGGAAGGGCCTCAGCTGAGGTTGAAAACACTCGGCTCTGCTGTGCTGCGTATGCGGTTGCCACAGCGTGGACGTGCACGTGTCACACCTCACGCCATAGCGATGCCTTCCTCGCCTCGGCTTAGTCCCTCTGCGCCTCTCAGCTCCCAGGTGGGCAAAAGTGCCACGTGGGGACCCGCAGCCTGAGCGTGGCTGGCTGATTTCCAGAGGAATCTGGTGTCTCTCTCGAAGAGTCCGCTCAGCTCTCCCTCGCCCCCCGCCAGCCGGCCGTGGCACCTCACGTGACAGCCGTGGCGCCTCGTGTAACGGCCGTGGCGGAAACGCTAACCTGGCTCGTTTCCCGCTGCCCCAGGGGTCGAAGTCAGGACGGTGGAGCTGAGCCGGCAGGAACCCCGCAGCGACGTGTATCTGATCCAAAGCCAGGACGCCGCCGGGCCTGACCTCATAGAAATCCCCCCTGACGAAGTGGAGAGACTTAAAGCCACAGGTAGAGGCAGGGCCGTGTCCCACATCCCGGAGGGACCCCCCTGATGCCACGCGGTGGGGAGAAGCGCCGGACAGGATATAACGGCGGGGAGGAGCCTGGCCTTGAGGTGTTCTGCCCAAGCGGGTCTGGGCCAGAGACTGCAGCAGTGCGCACGCCCCACCTCCACCCGCGCCTGGCTCCTGGCCCTCTGGCTGCCGCGCTGGACAGCCTCGGGGCTT